TACTGGAAAAGTTTCTGTCTGACGTTGTTCTACCGTCGGGCGCGTTCCCCGATCATGTGGCGAGTGGCTTGGCTGTTTGCCATGTGATCTCGCTGCTGTCGGTCGCAAACAGTCAGTGCGTAACGTCCGCCGAGCTGCGCGATGCTATACAGTTGCACTTGACACTGCAGACAATGTGTTACAGCCTCAAGCCGTGCTGGAAACCGAAATCGCATTGGGTTACACATTTACCTGAACAGATGGAGCCCCAAGGAATGCTGCTCAGCACGTTTTTTACACGAACGTAAGCACAGGGTGGTCAACACAATGGCCACAGGGCGCCATTCGACCACAGCTTACGATCGTGGGCTGATGAAAGAAGTTACGGTCCAACACATTTCAGACCTCAAGCACAAAATCAGGGGTATCGACCTGCTGCCCCCCAGGCCGCCCAGCCGTAGGATGCTCGATGCTCTGAAAGGTTGCTCGTGGATTGATCCATCTTGGGAAGTTGTCACAGCTAGGCGCGCTTCGATCCACAGTAGGGTGATACAGATGGGGGACGTTGCAGCTTTCACGTTCGCCGACGGCACCGTCGGCTTCGTCCACGCATGGTTTCACGTGCGAGTCAACCACCACTTGCTTAGTTGTGTTTCGCGGTGGCCGACGCTTGAGATGCGAGATAATCGCGCGACGTGCGTTGTAGATAGCTCGCCCGTGCTCGTTCGGCCCGCGCATCTCATTGAACCTTGCATTTACTCTGGCGCGCCTGAAGGCCAGAGAACGTCAGTTCTTTCTCCAGGGCGGCACCGAGTGAGAGCCGCCCGAAAGCTTACTTGAATAACGGAGGGAGTGGGGGGAGGGAGGAAAGGAATAGTATATACCCGCCTTACACCCCACCCCACATCCATCCCCCCTCCCCTGTGGAGGGCGGGTCTCGCGGTATACCTGAGGGAGGGGGGCAAGGGGATGGGAAGGGATGAGAGGGGAGAGAGGGTGGGATAAGGGATGGCGGGGTGTCGGGGGGGGGGGGGCGGGGGGGGGGGGGGGGGGGGGGGGGGGGGAGGGAAGGATGGGTACAGCGAACGAAAGAGGGGTGGTCCTGAGGGGATTGCACCGCCGTCGTCATTGTCACCGACATCATCGCCATTAGGTTCACCATCATCGTCATCATCATCGCCGTCGACCGTGTCGCCGTCGTCGTCATCGTGATTATCATCACCTTAATCGTCACCACCATCGCCGTCATCATCATCAGCATCATCGCATCGACGTCGTGATCGTCATCGTTTTCGTCGCAATCATCGTCGTCATCATCATCCGTATCATCATCATCGTCAGCATCATCATCATCATCATCCTCATCATCGCGATCACCACCATCATCATCGTCAACATCATTTCCCTCATCATCACGACCACCATCATCATCATCGTCATCACCACTATGATCATTACAATCGTCATCGTCATGATGAGGGAAGCAACGTGAGGGGCGGGGGAATGGAACGACGGCGGTGATGACGGGGAGGGCGGGAAGGACTGAGGGGAGGGATGGGAATGGGGATTGGAAGGGAGCGAAGGGAGGGATGGACGGAGGGAGGGAGTGGGGAAATGATGGGTGGGCGGAGGAATGGGCGGGGTGGAGGCATGGGAGGAAGCGGGGGGAGGAAGGGACAGGGGCGAGAGAAGAAGGGGGGTCGGAGGGGGGAGGGGGGGATGGGAAAGACACAGAGTATAGACGGGAAAGGAATGAAGGGCAATGGCGAGGAGGGCGAAGCCTCGAGCGGGGGCCTCGAGCGGGGGCCGCTTTTCTGCATTCATTCAGACACGTGTGAAGACGTCTCGAGCGGGCGTCGTTTTCCTTGCCCCCCAAGAGGGGATGGGGGGGGGGGAGTGAGAGGAACGAGAAGAGGGGAGGGGCGATGCACTCCCGTTGCTTGGCTGCTGCTATTGCGCTCGGCCGTCGAGACCGATGGGCTGAAAAATGACGACGCAGGAAAAAAGAGCTGGCCAAACTCACAAAATAAAACACTGGCGGGGAAAAACAACAAGTTATAAAGAGAAACAGCAATATAATGTTGTTAAACTATGTTTTCGATTCGCGAATCTTGGTTTTTCAAAACACTAGCGCATGGTTTCTAACATAAAACGCCTAAAAATGGGAGGCCCGCCAAGTAGGTTAGGGTCCATTTGCTAAGTGGGTTAGGGGTTGCGCTAAGTAGGTTCGCGGGGGGGGGGCTAAGCCAGATAGCGCGCTTAGCAGAAAGCTGCCAAGTTGGTTATTTAACCAGATTCAAAGCGAGTACAAGTGCGTTAGAGAACTGCAGTTCGCTAATCCCGCTAAGCTACTGATTAAGTGCTTCTATTGCCCCGAACACGTTAGTAAGGCCAGTGAGGCCCCCAGTACCAGTTGGAATCCCCCCCCCCCCCCCCCCCCCTCGAAAACCGGAGGGGCGCCACTGCCGGTTCGACCCCCCCCCCCCCACCCCCCCCCACCCCACGCGCCGCCAGCAAACAACTCCCGGCCCCTACCACCGCTCGCATCACATCCCCCACTGTTGTTCCCAGCACCACTGTCCTCACCACCGCTGCCCCCACTGGTTCCACCGCCGTCCCTATTGTCCACGCCAGTGCCCCCACCACTGTCGCACTGTCCCCAATGTTCCCACCACTGTTCCCACCACGGTTCCACTCTCCCCACTGTCTCCGCGGACCCAACCGCTGCCTATCCCCACTGTCCCCACTGTCCCACTGACTCCTCCACTGTCCCACTGAGCTGCCCCACTGTTCCCACCACTGTCCCTACCACTGTCCCCACTGTACCTCTGTCCCATTGTCCCACCGCCGTCCCCGCCACCGCCTTTACCACTGTCCCCACCACCATTGTACCCTCCACTATCCCACTGTTTCCACCTCATTCCCACTGTCCTCACCACCACTGCCCCCGCCACCACCGTCCCCACCACTGTCCACTGTCCCCCCTGTCCCCACCATTATCCCCACCACTGTCCCCACCACTACCGTCCCCACCACTGTCCCACTGTCCCACTGTCCCCACCACTGTCCCGCTGTCCCCTCACCACTGTCCCCACCAACACCGCCCCCGCTACTGTCCGCACCCCCACTCGGTTTTCGAGGGGGGGGGGGGGGCTCGAACCGGTAGTGACCCCCCCCCCCCTTTTCATGATGAGCTGGGGGGGGGGGGAGGGGGTTCGAACGGCAGCGACCCCCCCCCCCCGGTTTTCTGGAAGGGGGGGGGGGGGGGGGGGGGAGGGGTTCGAACCCGTAGTGACCCCCCCCGGTTTTCCGCCAGCAGCGGTAGAACACGCTCTTTCTGAATAAAGGATCCCCCATGGCTCTTGCCCCAGCCATGGGGGACTAGCTTGGGCCAATATGCCAAGATGATGTAAGGATGCGAATCCTGTCGCGGATCTGCTGGGGTGCTCGGGGCTCTGTGGGGTCCTGGGTGTGGTGCCCTAGGGCCCTAGGGCCCTCCCTGGTGGCCTCTTCCTCCTCGCTTGCTGCGTCCAGCTGGTGGCGACCAGGGAGGTACTGGGCACCAGAAAGCCGAAGGCTAGAGGCTAGAACAATTCGAACGAGGCAGCCCAAGCATCCAAGCGCCTAGCGCCTAGCGGCCTGGAGAGTGAGACAATCTGCATAAGGAATGCAGTTGATCTGACATCTGAATATGGGCGTCTTTCTCCTCATCTCTGAGCTCAGGGATGCATGGGGGCGCCTGCGCTCGCTGTTCCAGCCATGCGCAGCACATGCGCAGAGTCCTATCGTGGGCCCATTCCCAATCGCGCCAGTAACAGATGCTCTCGCGGGCACCCTAGCTCAGAGCGTGATGCGCTCCACCCCCCTCCTCCCACCTGGACTCCTCCTCCTGCTCCTCCTCCTAGCCTCGTCCTCCTCGTCATCGCCATCCTGGTTCCCCCACGTGGGCCTGCGGGGGCGCCGCGGCCGCCCGCGGCAGCGCCGCCCGCCACCGGGGACCTGGGGGGTGGGGAGGCGGAGGAGCTGTTGCAGCGGAACCGCAGCAGACGCCGAGGGGAGACGAGTCGGAGAAGCTCGCCGCTTTGTTGTCACGCTTCTCTGCATAAACAGCTGCTCCTACGATGCCTGGCCCTATCGAACCTCGGGCGCACACCCGCATTCCTATCACTAGGAGCCTAGTGGACAGGCTTCTGCACGCCGAGAGACGGAGGGCGGCGCTCCTCCGGGGAGAGCTTGAAAGGGAAACTACAAATTACCTGCCTCCAGCACGACAACGGCGGCACGCCGAACGGAGGCGCTGTTGCAGCGGAGCGCTGGCCACAAAGACTCTGCCGATTCCGTGCAACCGCCCCCATCCCAGCCCCTTCCCATTCCCCTCGCTGCCCTCCACCTGAGTAAGTCAACTGGCAACCTGAGGCCAGCGAGCTGGATGCCAGGGTCCCTGAACGAGTGGCACGCTCCTAAGATGAGACGCGCGAGAGGAGAATACCACACACAATACATGTACTTCGTGTTGACATGTGTGCTACTCATATACAAACACACACACACCTCAGTCGTGCAGCCGGCTCAGCATTAAGGAAAACCGCAAGACAAACCCAGTCCGCACAGCGTCAAAGCGTATGCGGTGGGCCGCACAGGCGTGCCACTGTTACAGTAGTAAGGCAAATTCAGGTCACCCGCGCCGAAGGGTATCTGACAGACAGTCACCCGACGCGACTGGAAGCACTTCGCCGAACGGGTCAGGCGCTCGAGAACTTGCGGTGTTCCGTCATGCTAGCCGCCCACAACCCCACTGGAAATGCGTGCGAGGGCGCCGCGTACTCGAATTGTGTGCGCATCTGTTGCATAGCGGAAGGCAGGGCTCATCCGAGAGGCGCATCTGTTGCAGGTCGGCCAAAACTGGCGCTGACAGAAGCAATGCCTAAACCAGAACTGGCGCGTCGCAGTCGACTGTTGCAGTCTACCAGAAGCGCGCTCGGAGAAGCCCCGCGATTGACTGCGACAGTCTGTGCAAGCTGTCAGCTGCTCCCAGACGCGGGCTCGTCCCACCGAGGCTCACAGAGTTGCTTTGCCTCGTCATGGTGCGTGTGATACATGGGCGCGACTCTGTCGCACAGCGTTTTTGGGCGCGGGCGACTGTAGCATTTGAAATTGTACTGCACCTGCACGTCCACGAGGATCCCGAAGATGTGCTCCCTGAAACAATGGCCATTGATGTTCTGCCTGATGCCGCCGATCCAGTACTTGTACTGGCGCCTGTGGAAGTCCCATTCTGCATGGATCACAATGCGCGCGTAATATTGGTGCTGCGGTTGCACCAGGCAGAAGACGACGTCTCCTTTCTGCACGGTGGACGCCTCCTTCACGACGCAGCCAGGGCCCGCATCCGCTGTTGCAGCTTCGATGGGGTGAAAGGTGCAGAAGTCGTGCGACTGCACCAGAGGCCACATGGAGTTTCCCGAGCTCGGGTACCACACGGGGAAGCCGGCTTCGAGGTACTCATGTATCATCTTGTTCGTCTCTCCCCGCAGCCTTAATTCCAAAACAAACTTGTCGGGGTCCCACGCTGCACCCTCGACCAGCGCCCAGTCCCTGTGGAGCGCGGGAATGGCCCCGTGCGGGGACGACACAACAAAGGGTGGAAGGCGCTTCGGCTTGCTCTGCTCGACGACTGCGGCCTCCTCGGGGGGCAACTTGGCGATGGACTTGTAACCTTTGGACTGCTCCGCCGTCTGACCGACCTTTGCACGTGGTGGGAAGGCTGCCTTGGCTCTTGCAGCGATGCGGGCATTCGTCGTCTGTTCCGCCTGCCGCTTAAGAAGTTTCCCGCGCTCGATAGGCTCCTCGCTGTGCTTCGCGGCGGCAGAAACCGTCGTCGCCCGCGTGGCTGACCCACGTGGAGCCTGGGATAACAGCTGGCGCCGCTCAGCCTCCATGTGTTCCTGCCGCGCTCGCTCTGGCTCGGGCTTGTAGTGGTCCGCCTCTTGTCGCAGCTGCTCTCTCGTCATCGGCGGCGGCGGCGGCACGACCCTGCCCGATAAATCGATTGGCCGTGGCGGGCGGGCGGGCATCCGTTTCGGAAGAGGCTGGCCCTCCGCGGGCGTGTCACTGACCCTCTTCGCTGGCGCGCGCTTGGCCCACGGAGTCTTTTGTCTCCAATCATCCTCCTCCTGCCGAAGCGGAGATGTGAGAGGAGCACCCATCCCGCGCCGTGCCGTGACAGGAGCATCCCGCGCCGTGCTGCGGGCGCGCTCTCTGCCTCTGCGGGTACGGTCACCAGCCTCTCGGGGGGAGTCGCTGTCGGAGATCACAATCGCGTGGTGCGGATCACCCGACTGCTCGGCCTGGGCCCGCGCCCTGTCGGCCTCCGACGGAAGCTCCGTCAGCCTGAGCCCGCTCATCGCCGCCATCGGCGGGCCACTAGCGCCTGCGCCCTCACGAGCTGTTGCTGCCTCTCGCCGCCCGCTCGACGCTGTTGCAGCCAACTGGCGCTGGCGCGGCGACGCCTCTCTCTGGCGACTCTGGGCGTTTGACGAGCGCCGCTGCTGCCTCACCCACCGCTGCAGATCCCACTGGTACCGTACACAGTCTTCGATCCCAGTCGCCCCTGGCGGGTTCCGACGCTCCCAGTCTATCATCTCAGTGTTCCACCTGATCTCCTCATCGCTCAACTGCCTGCGTGCGGTCGCGTCCAGGCATCCGTAGGGTCTCTCCTGGCCCTCCCAGACTCCTGGACTCGAAGATCATCATGCCGTCATTGTCCAACTGCTGCTGCTTATGTTGGACCCAGCGCAGGCGGCGCTCACGATCCAACGCCTCATCGCGTGCGCCCTCCTGACGCGCTAACTTTATATTCAACTCGCACCGCTCCCTCTGGCTCCGCAAGCCGTTGCGCTGGTTGTGCAAGTAATCCCAGGTGCCGACCTGAAGACTAGCCAAAACTGGAGGAGCTGTAGTACAACTAGACGTCTAACTTGGAATGTTACACCCCCCTGGTGATATCCGACATGTTATGTTAGAGCTCCCTGGGATATCTAACATGCTGTGTAGGAGCTGCGTGGGAGCTCGAACATGGTATGTTAGAGCTCCCTGGGAGCTCTAACATCCTCTAGCATGCCATGTTAGATCTCCATGGGAGCTCTAACATGGCATGTTAGAGCTCCAATGGAGCTCTAACACCCTCTAACATGCCATGTTAGAGCTCCCTGTGAGCTCTAACATCATGTAGCATGCCATGTTAGAGCTCCAGGTGAGCTCTAACATGGCATGTTAGAGCTCCAATGTAGCTCTAACATCCTCTAACCTGCCATGTTAGAGCCCCATGGGAGCTCTAACATGGCATGTTAGAGCTCCATGGGAGCTCTTATCAGACAGGGGGGGGTACTACAGCTAGCCCAGATTTGGCTGGTCTGACCTGGCGCCCTTTGCCCTTGCCCTTGCGCGCGTCGTCGTTGCCCTTGCCCTTGGCGCCCTTGCCCTTGCCGCCATTGCCGACCATCTGCGCTGTTGCAGCTGGGGCGGGCTTGGAACAGCGCGCGCGCGGCGCGCGGGCAGGGTAGGGAGTCGAGCCGACAGCTACGGAGACGAGGGAGACAGAGAGAGGGAGAGAGAGATCCCCAAAGTTTTCGGATGAGATCACTGCAGAGGTTTTTGATGGGGATGGGAAGGTTGAACTGTCTCAGCTGCGGCAAAAGGGGGGGATCATCGCTCTGGAGGTTTCGATGGAGACCGCTCGCATGCACGCGAACACGTAGGTGGACTGGGGGCTGGGCTGGACAAGTGCGGTGGAAGACGGCCTCGTCGCTACTCCTGCCTCGTCCTGCTCCCCCCTCCTCCTTCAGCCCCATCACCCCCCTCATCCCCCTCCTCCTGAGGGCGGCCCTGGGCGCCCAATGCTTCCCGCCCCCGCCCCCCCGCCCTCGCCGCCGGCAACCGCCGCCACGGGCAACCGCAGACCCCCCCCCATCGGCGACCTTCAGGCCCCCAGCGGCGGGCAGCGCCGCCCGCCCACTGAGGGGCGCAGGGAAGGTAAGGTCGGACGACGTTGGGCGGCGCTCTCGTATTTTTTCAACAAAACTGGCACGATCGCAATCTATGGGACGGGCTACTTACTCACGCTGTCACAGCCTTGGTGCCCGGGCACATTGCTTCAACCGTCGCGTCGAAACGCAGAGCCCAGTTCCTCGGGCTGTTGTAGAGCTGGTTGACGGATGTGTCGACACCCGCGTCTTCTCCCGAGCGGCACAGCACGCAAGTTCGCTGCGCCAGGCGGGGGTTGGCCTGCTTCTTGAAGAACTTGCAGAGCTTCCCGGGGCTCTTGTAATATATCACACACCCACTCGGCGTCTGGGCAAGCGCTCGCAAAACGCGGGGCAGCGTAGGCAGGTCTTCCGCGAGAGCCTCTGTTACAGCCACGTGGTAGCTCTTGCTCGAGTTCCGAAGCTTCTCCGTGTACTGGATGCCTTTTGGAGAATCCTCCCGTGCAAAGTCAGTCGGCGTTGTGGAAAAAAAGCTCCCGTGAACGCTGCTACAATCTGGGCGGCGATGCAATAGTCGGTGTCAGCTGTTGCCGCCAAGACTACGTTCCCCTTCTTCCCCTTGGCCGTATGACGGGCAAGATAGTCCAGGAAGTCCACTGGGCCCTGAAACACCTTGAAACGCAAGCGCTGCGCCTTGTTGCGAGCGCCCACATCTACCATGCGAGCCAGCATGAGCCCAGCGGGGCGCGGGGGGGGCAGCAAGTAAGCGTCGCGGCCCGCAGCTGGCCTGGCACTGCGCAGGACTTTCTTCTCTCGGGTGCTCCTGGCCTTGGCGGCGGCCTTCGCCCCTCCAAGATTGCGCTCTCGGATCCCGGCCTCCCGCTCGGCGACGGCGGCGGCGACTTTTGCAGCGGGCCCGACTGGATCTGCGCCGCTCGCCTGGGCCGCCCCCTGAGCCAGCGCAGCGAGATCGGGGGCGCCCTCCGCGAGAAAGCGGGCGCGCTTGCCCGGGGGAGCGGCCGCCATGGAGTCGACGACAGCTGCTCGCCTGCGCCCGAAGCCTACCTCTGTCCGACGTGCTGCCCCAGGCTCCCGCGTGCTTCCCTTGTCGCGCCTCTCGGCCCTCCTCAGCGGCGCGATCTTCCCCTGGGCGACCTCATGTAGCTTGAGCACATGCCTGTACCAACGACTGGCGGCAGAGCTCTCGCTGTCGTCCAGCCACGCGCGCAGCAACCTGCTGGAGGGCGCCTGGTCCACGAGCGTGCACTCCTCGACGGACGCGTCGAGGAGCCGCGCCCTCTCGGGGCAATGCACCTCCGAGAAACGGCGGAATCGCGTCTCCACGTTGCCCGTGCTCGTTTTCCATACAAGGAAGAGCTCCACGAGGCGACGGCCGCTGGGGAGCTCGGGCCACTCCACCGCAGCGCGGCCCCAAGCCTGCCGCGTGGTGCCCCCGTCTCGATGATGCACCTCGGCACGAAGCAACATTTGCCGCAGCTGGGAGATTGTCTCCTGCTCGGGGAGGTCTGCCGCCTGGCAGATGCGCTTCAAACAGGCCTCGGCTTCTGTTGCGTGCTCTGTTGCAGACAGGGACAGGGGGGAAGGCAAGCGGAAGGCTGCAAAGGCGTGCAACCAAGAATGATCTGGCCGATATAGCTTCATGTTCCCCTTCGCATTGGCCGCGATCCCCTGCGCTCGTCGAAGAGCCGCGCGGGCGGCTTCGCGGGCTCGGGGCCCCGTCCCCCAATCGCCGGTACCAACGGTCTGGGCGCCAGTGCCGCACGCGAACCGCTTCGTGGCCTTCAGAAACCTGAGGGTGACGCCAGTGAACGCGTCGGGGATGGCCAGAATATTCCCCCGGACGAACAATGTATCCAGCTTGGAGAGGAAAGCGGCGGCCCTGGATTGAACGCTGGCAGCGTCTGGGTTTCTCTTGTCTCCGGTGGCGACCCAGGAGTAGTGCTCCGCGCCCAAGTCGGCCAGCAACCCCCCCGGGAGCAGGCGCGAACTGTTCTCGCCCCCGAGCCCTTCCAGAATCTGTCGGGCGAGAATGCGCCGATCTTCGTCCTTCCCCTGGGACTCCACTCCGAGCGCCTCGAGAATGACTTCCCAACGCCGACTTTCCCGTGCTAAGGGCCCCGCCCGACTGTTGAAACGCTGGGGGGCCCAGCCGAAGTTTGTGGCGGACGCGGCGCCGTCTTCCACCAGCTGCTGCCCCCCGAAAGTGTTGCGGAACACGGTGGAGGTAGTCAAGAACTTGGCCAGACTCGGCGGCTTCTTACCCGTTACCAGCAGCTCGTCCGCGGTATTTCGCCGTCTCCTTTTCATCGAATTGGCCAGAACCTTCTGGGGCGAGTGAGACTCGCCCCACGCGTGAAGCGCCAGCCCAGGGAACGTAGTTGTTGCACCCAGGGGCGCACGTAGATCCGCCCCATCGCTGCGCCATGCCCGAGTCTCCTGTCGCGCATGCCTGTGCAAGTCCCCGCCCAGCTCCCCGCCTGCCGTCTGGCACGCGCGACGGACGCACTCCTCCAGCATTGAGGCCTTGCCGTAGCAGTCCATGCCCCGCGGGAACTCCCGCACCCCGATCGCCCGATCCACGACACAGGGCCCTCTGGGGCCCAGCTGTTCCAGCCAGCCTGCCTTGAGACCGTAGCTTGGGAGGAAGTCCAAAGCCTTCGGGATCGACCACAGCGCGGCGCCAATTTCGACTTGGCACGCGCGGTCGAGGCCGTCCGCAGCCAAACGAAAAACAGCACCATGTTTGAGGATCCTCTGCGCGATGATCTTCTCGTGCTGAGCCATGGTTGTTTTCCAGTCTTCGGCGCTGCCGACTAGACTCCAAAACTTGGCGGTCGCCCCCAACGAACGCACGCCGCCACACGTCGAAACTACTGAAGGAACTGAACGTCTCCAAAATTGCACGGGTGGCGACCACTGCGCGGCGACCAGGGCGCTGGTCGGCGGCGCGGACGACGGCGGGCGCAGGCGCCACGGCTGTTGCAGCTGCTGCAGCTGATGCAGCCGTTGTGGGGAACGCAGACACGGGGAGACCCTGGTGCGCACCTTCCGCTCGAATCCGCTCGTTCCACGCCGCTTCTGATGCCTGGTGCCCCTCGCACTGTGCATGGCGCGCGAGGTTTTCCTTGCGTTGGAAACTCGCGGACCCCTGGCCTACGGTGGAATAGCAGCGAGCGCCCTTGTACGCCGAGCAGCACAAGCAGACTGCAAATCTACCACCTACGCAGCCTATCCAAGTTTCACTCTTCAGTGTCACTGGGTTCGTCGCAGACATCGAGGCGCTCCACTTCTCCTTGTTCTTCCAAAATTTGCAAGCGCCGCAGGTGGAGACGTGCTTTGGGTAGTCGTGGCTGGCGACGTGCTCCTCCAGGGTCATGGGCAACGAAGGCGGGAACTTCTCGACTACTTTGCTCGGGGCGGCCTTCGCCTTCGCTCTTGCAGCCGCGACTGCCTCGCTGCTGGAGCCGCTGTCCTCTTCGGAGCCGCTGCCGGAGCCGCTGTTGGAGCCGCTGTCCTCTTCGGAGCCCGCTGCGTCGGCAACTCCGTCGGCGCCGTCGGCGTCGGACCCTACGTCAGCATCGGCGTCCGAGCTGTTGCAGCTGCCACGGCTTGGCGAAGCTGCCCTCGACGAGGCCGCCGAGGCCGCGCGGCTCGACGGGGCCGCTCTCGACGAGG